TATCGAAAACAACAAAACCAATAACAGTACGAAACGCCAGAATGCGGATATATCGCATTATAAAGGACTGATAGCATCTGACTGCAGAATGGTTACAATAATTATAATGATAACGATATCATACTGACGTCAAGAAGTGTATGTCAAGGATATTGAGCCAGATACACGTGTGTGCGATAAATCATAGAGCATGCATATGGTCAGCAGATATAAACGACAACATATATCCACAATCCATAGCGATAACATTATCATTAATATTATTACTATTATCATTAAACGAATTGTTCAGAATCAGGATTATAGAGTGAGAAACACGATGGATGCATGGATATATGATGCTCTAAGCATTAATGTTGCTCTTTTCTGTTGCATCAACCTTTGTTTGTTCCTTCCTCTCTTTCTTCACATCTGAAATTAATCCAAGTTCGAGATGAGATCGAAGTCGTTTGATTGCTTTTTGAAAAGACACAACACCTTAACTGATTCATTTATATGTCAGCGTGAGACGTTTACATTTAGCGATCGGTGAAAAAATATTAACGTTACAAGTGCTCTCAGTAGTCTCATCGTTCTTGTCGAGTCGAATTAAGCGAAAAAACAGTGATACAGATTAAAGCTAGGGTATTTCTTAAGCAGAACGAACGAACATAGCGCAGAGAATACTCTTAAAGCGTAAAGTTTATCTTTCACTCTTTCACACTCCAAACTGCATCGTCTTAAGGCTAGAATTGCGATAGTCGCATATCCTATTCGACGATTACAAATGGCGATTTGTTAACGTGTATGCTTTTATGTGTGTTTATCACCAATATTATCACCACTGTCATATTATTATTATTATTGCTATGATATTTTGATTCGCGTTGCTAGTGATAAGAGAACGTTTCGTTCAAAACAAATTATAATTTATTCAAAAAAGATGTCCATCACATACGACATACATACATACACACATACATATGTACGTAGTTAGGTAATTATCAAACAAAAAATGTTTCTCAGCAGTAAATGCCTTTACAAAGAATTTGCAAAGAAGAAGAAATGTGTGGTTTTGTTTGACTTTTTTTTAAAAATTAAACTCTAAAATCACCAACGAACACATTTCTCCGTTGTCACACGTTCAAACATTCATAACGCTTATCGGTCGGTAATGATAGAGCAAGCAGCAATTTTGCCAGTGATCTCCTGCCTCCTTACATAAACCCACATACAACACAGAGTGTGCTTGAGAACAATTCAAATTAATATCACATATTTTGCAATATATTATATTAATTTGTTACGAGTTATCACTTCCGTTCAACTACTCTTTCTCAAGAATAATTTTGGCTAGCAACTAAATGAATTCAAAGTGTGCCACATCATTACCTTATATTCATTTCATATTATGTGCTCAATATATTTTCAACAGCTCTATTTGTTGTTAATAACGTCGAGAAACAGCGAGTATACATGACCATCGTCTGGTCGGAAGATCATCATGGCTGGGGGTTTCCTACACATATCTGTGGTACGCATAAAACGCACTAAAAGCATCATCATTCTACGAAAATGACCAATTTTTGCTTCAGATCTATCTCTCTGCGGAATCNCCAAATTTTAATAACTCGGTAACTTGATCAAAAGAATCTCCCTCGTGTATTCTTCCCAACATGGAACGTTACACAACGAATAGCAGCAGCAGTATCAATTAACAACAAATAATATCATTAATTTGTTTCGAGTGGTCATTTCAAGTCAAGTACCCGTTCTTGAAGCGTCTGCGTGCTCGATTACGAGAAGATATCTCTTATCACCTACTAAAATCCCTTACATCCGTGCTCGATATCCCTCACTACGAATGCACACTTAAACAAAACTCAATAATACTATCCATGTTTATCACATAACGATTCTCCAAAAATCTCACAAAATTGGATCTTTTCAAGTTTTTGATGATTAGATAATTCGTTAAGCTCAATCCCAAACAATCCTGATCTCGTTGAATATTTCCTAAGAACGAAAGATCAATCGTATATGATAAATCAGTTATTCACAGTACAGAATGGAATCGATATCGATAAAAGAAGAGCTTTCGAAATCTAACCGCATAATCTATCTCTAAAGTATCATCCACCTCCTCAATCAATTCAATAAGTTTTCTCCTTCTCATAACCGAACATTTACAAAATATATCTATTAATCCATCAATCAAGCATTCAATCAATCATATATCATATTATTATCAGATCATATCATATCGTATCAATAGATCCCTCAACAAATAAGGCACTCTGTTCGGCATACACATTAACGCCTTCGTTTCGGCATATTCGATTAAAATTATTCGAAACTTAAAAATTATCAGTACTTTTATAATATCAGCATAGCATCTGGATCATTCAATCAATCGGCACTAAACTTTCGTGTTGAATTGAAATGATTTTAAGCCAATCGCTATCAAAACCCAAAACTGATATTTGCGTGAAAAGAACGAGGCGGGAGGATTTCGAGAACGGATTGATTGTTTTGCAGATTGAGTGATGATGATTATGATTAATTTTTTTGGTTTTTGGAAATATAAGATGAAATATCATTTGTTCTCTATGAATTTCATATTATATCTCGAACCACTAACAAATAACGATGAATCCAAGTCGAATGCATTCATTACACATGGGCTTAACCACTCCTCGTCAACAAATATGCTGCTACCACTAAAAGCTGTTTAACAAATCCTTTAAACTCTTCAAATATCAACTCATTTGCTCACATTTATGTTCTTCATCTCTGAAGTTTATTCCTAAAATTCCAGATCTACAATTAGCAAAATTTAGATTTGAACTGAACGAACGATTCAAGCGCTATGTTTTGGAATAAGTAAATATTTTACTGAGGTGAAGTTTAGAGTAAAAATGTTATGTGTTCAAAGAAACACTGAACTTTTACAGCGCAAACAAATTGCTGAGAATCACCTAAAATGCTGAGAAACTCGACAAAATGAGAGTCAATGCCCATGCGTGATCGCGATGATAATGTGAGAATGTGATGAGGATAGAAATAAGGTTGGTATATATCTGTGGTTATGAGCATTTTTCAGTTGAAATCTTTCGCAGCAGCGACAGCAAACTCTGTTCAAACAAACACCAAATCAGCAATTGTCATCAGATTCTCTTCTTCTAGAATTCTTTAGTGTAATCAGTTTTCGAACGATCTTCATCCAAGTTTTTGCAACTACCCAAACAAAAAGAATTCCACTCTCGCTGGAAAAGACCAATTTATTCTCTAACTGAAAACTGTGTGGTACTAATTGGGAACTTTGTCATTTCTAGCAATTTGAAGACTCATGAATAATTGATCCCCTTTTGTGCTTCTGCTATGGAAATTTTCATTTCTTTCTTCTCAATCGATTAATTCGTCTTCATTTCAATAAAAAGTTTTCATATTCAATGGGGGCTCATTCAATCATAAGTCTGATCTAGCCCAAATATAATAGAAGAGATTATCTGACATTCCCTTGTTTTTTTGGCATTGTTTAACAGAGTTGCTTTTCCGAATCACATTTTTTCATTTAAAAAGAAAAACACGAAAGAACCAGCAGCTTTGTGAGGACAACAACGACGCAGTAAAGTTTAAATGCTGCACACATGTGTACGCACAACTATCGAAACCGATAGCCATTCGCCGAACAGATTTNNTCGTTCAGAAATAATCATTATAATAACATTAAAAAAAGAGTAATAATTCTTCCTCTGAGAGTTTACTACCGCCAGCCCTAGACCTTTTTTCTCAAGAGTCAGTCTCCGATGAACTAACTGCAACGGTAGTAGTGAAGAAATAAACCGACCAAAATAAGGATATTTTTTTCAGTGCATCCTATCAAACTAATGCAGCATTTGCTGTATCCACCACACATTTTCAATTGATTTTCAATTCTAGACCCTTAAAAAGCACACAACCACTATGAATCGAACCATACTCAATAACAAAACGCAATCACCAAAAATTCAATCCTCTAAATGTATCGCTCAAATCAGAGCCAAAGCAAGGCTGGATCTAATAGCATAGCATGCTGAAGGGATAGAGCTGCGGGCAAAAAACCGAACGTGAACGATAATAATAAACAATGGCTGTGTTGAAGAAAGAGAAGGTATTCGAATAGGAACTAACGTCAAAAAAGAATCAACTGAATTCAAAACAAACGAAGAATGAAATAAACAAATGAAGTAATCAAAAAAGCTAATCATGAAGAATTACTAAAATATTATGATGCTAAGATCATCAATAAAGAATGAAATGAATGAATCGATGAATATGAACTGACCCAACGAACGATGCATATTATCACCAACGATTCTGCTGCATATGCATCATTCACTTGTCCAATAATGCGATAACAACCAATTAACAACAACAACAACACTAATAATATCAAGCAATCAATAACTAACCGATCACTGCCTCATCACCATCCTCATCATTTCCTTTTGTTTCTCCACTCTTCTCGGTGGTTTTGTCCGTGGTCGCGGTTGTCGTGATACTATCTCGTGGACGTTTTCGATCGTTACTCTTCATGCTCAACGACGCCAACGAAACGGGTTGTTGGTTCGGTGCACCGGCCGAGTGTTGTTGTGGTTGACGTATGTCGGGCAATCGTTCCACATTCAGCACTTTGTACATCTGATTGAATGCTATCAAACGGAGTGCATGCTGCGAACCGGCCGTAATGTCCTCTCGTTGCTGACCACTCAACTCACTCAGCACATCCCGACCGTCTTTCTCGCA